TTTGACGGCGTCAAAATAGTTTTAACAGTAAATATTTTAAATTGGTTAGATCCGTTCCTGCTTGAGATGGAGGTGTATTTCCACAATGTGTCCCATAGGACGAAGGCTGTTTATGTGATGTAGATCGTGGCATGAAATCGGCTTTCCGTGCCGCGTGCTATGTGTGTGGTGTGCGTGTGTTGTAGTGTTCGGGGGCGGCCAAGCGCCTTCCTGTATTCTCGGGGAGGCGGACTTCGCTCTGCAGCGCGGCGCGTGCGGCGTCGCCGTCCCTGCGCGATGCGAGCCGCCCCGCATCTGGCCCGGTTCCTTAGGCTCTCTTGCCTTCGCCTTCGCTTCGCCCTCCGTGCTCGAGGGCGCGACGGGTGCATTTCCTTTCGCAGGTCCGCGGCGCAGGGCGCTCGCAAATATTTTAGCAGGGAGATAATTATTTATGAAGTATGTTCCGGTGACGCCGGCGATTGGTTGTACGTAGGGATCGAGTGCTCTAGAACGACGGCGCTCCGGTTTGTGTGCAGGAATTGGCAGTTGACATGGCCCGAGACGTGCGCGGGAGCTCTATGGCTTACAATGTATGTCATTATATTTATGAACGCCTCCTAAAACGAGGAAAGGTTGCTTTGGTAGAATTCGGAAAAGTATTGGCGCGTGCGAATACAAGACGTGGTTATGTGAGTGCTGACAAAATGATTAAAGCGGACATACTCTAAACCTACTTTTTTTTTTTTTTTCCTTTTTTACAGTAATTCATTAGGTGATGTGGCGGTCGTTTCTCTATCGAGCGGTTGAGGGGCCGCAGTGCTCAGGAACAGATGCGCGCGTCTTGGTGGGAGCGGGCGGGCCGCACGGCGTCGTGATCTCGCCCGCGGGGCCGTACAGGGACAGCCAGCGCCTCAAGGTCGCCTTCCCGCTCTGTCGCCCAGAATGGGCTGATGAAAACGGCTCTTCGCTCCCAGGGCCTCTCCGCCACAATCAGGTAGGAACTTATTAGAATGCGAATTTGGCTTGTATTGGTGTGTGTAGTAGTTGTATGGTATGTACGTAGTATACATGTGTGTGTTGAACTAAGAATAAGAACTCATAGTACGAACTTGAAATCTGATTCGTATCATGCACATTCAAATGTAAAAGATTAATAAAAAGACAAAAATCCTTGCACAATACATTAATTTCTGATGTAATGTAATTTCTGATCTTGTGCTTTTTAGTCAGGTTTCGAAAGATGTTTCTGAAAATTTGTTTCAATGGAACGCAATTTTACTTCCGCGGGAGTCATTAATTTTCCATGTTTTTGAAACGACAATTTTGGTATCGCCTTAATGAAATTGTCCTTGATTAATATCAGTAACATACTGTTTTAAAGACTTTCTTGGTGGGCGATGCGCTTTGTGTAGCGGTTCAATTTCAGGTGGTCGAACATTTAGTTACGCTATATAAAGTGGAAAAATTTGTAATTGAAATTACGAATAGAAAAGCTAACGCTTTATTGTTTTTAGTTTTTAAGTTGACTGTCTTCAGTATTGAAAATTGTCCCAACTGCAAGAATGTTCTAAATGTTGAGATTTTTTTAGTTACATTCTACCAGTTTGAAAGTCGAAGCCTAGTTTTACTTTTTCCGAAGTTGGTATCGGCAAACTGGATGGCCACACAGGGGCGGTCGTGCTAGTTGTCATATGTCGATGTATTGCGAACTCGTGTGACAGTTGAGAGAGCTGAAAGAGGAGTGTGCGCGTCGCACGGGCGCACAAGACGAAAAAGCGGCGCAGCCTAAGGCGTCGGCGAGGCTCAGGTCCGGCTGGCAAGAACGTTGCCGCCCCCGCCCCGCCCCCGCGCTCCGCCGCGGATGGCGGCGGGGCGCTGCCGGTTGGCGCGGCGTTTAGGGCTTATTTGCTTTGTCGCGTGAAATACAGCCGCGCCGTGCCTCGCCTCGCCTCCGACGGGGCGCGGCGGCCCTGTGGCCCTCTCCCTCTCCGCCTCCCCCGCGCGCAGCTCGCAGCCCCCTTGCGCCGCACTCTTGTGACACGCGCATGGCCAGCTGACAAGTGCGTTTGAAGAGGCACCAAATGCGTGCTGGCTGTCCTCCTGCCGCCCTGGCGGGGGTTGGCTCTGAAGAGAAAATAAGCCAGGAAATATACTTCCTGAAATTCTCGCGCAACAATAAAACTTCAATATTAATTTGTTTAATGGTCTGCAGAAATTTCCCCCAAAAAGTAATATTTTAGTAACACATACTTCCTGCCTGTCTGAGACTGCAGATAGCTATTTGGAAAATTGCGATATAACTGCGTTTCCCAATCAGAAAATTTTACATTGCATCGATAAATCAAAGAAGAATAAATTGAAGATGTAAAAAAAACTTAATCTGTAAGGTAGTTGTTGTTGTTAAATTCTATTTCCGAGAGCTTTTGAGAGGGTGAGAGGTTTTGATCTAAGAATCAATCCTACATAATATTGACTAACCCCTCTGGCATATCATAGATTCGTCAATATGCAGGCAATATTTCTAACACTATCTATGTAACTATTTGTTTGGGACATGTTTTGTAATAGCTCTTGTAGAAGTAAAATTCTATTCCAATGCAATTGGCTTGCTGTTTGCTTATGTCACTGGCTTACAGTATTGGTTTAAATGACGTATGAGCCTCTCGCATTTTTGTAATTCAATCCTTACTTTTGTCATGTTCTATCTTCTACCTCACAAAATGTATTTTCTCTACCGTATTCGTACACTTCCTGCCGTATTCCATTCACCGTATTGACGCATTTCCTCGTACCACGTCGAACTACGATCTCCGTATGTACAAAGTACATTAGTTTATCTTGTCTCAATACTTCTAGATGTTTTCCACTTCTACTGTTAAACTGTTGGGTTTATGACGATTCGGTGACAAGTTGGATGACCAGACAACCTTCAAAATCGAATGAAGTCTGAACATTACAGGAAATTTGCCTGTCATTCGTACACGTTTACTCGTATAGTATAATTATTAGGAAGAGGATGTTCAATAAAGGTTTCAGAAATTCCACTCCCGAGACCTGGTTTCTTCGCTGCTTTTTGGTCCTAGCTCTAGGGGTGGATACCTTCTGAATGACGGTTAACAGTTACTTTTTGGTGGCTCGTTTCGTTTTCGGTATTCTTCTGCCGCCGTTTCTCTTTCGCCCCTTGCTACCCAGCCCTTCCTCGCCCTCCCGTCTCAGTCTCTTCTCCATCAGTCACGTCCACCGTCCTCCCTCTCTTCTACCCTCGCCCACTCGTGGCAACGTTCGCTTAGAGTTCGGCGCCGACGCGACGCGTGGGCGGCCGAAATGTGAGGAGGCAACGTGTTCGCGAGGAGCCCTTAGTGCGATGAGCCGAACGTTCCCATTGGTTCCTGGGTGATTTGAAAGTGGCGCTAACTTAATTTGTTTGGAAAGTTCCTCGGCAGTTCGTGAACGTCTGTGGTGGTTTGTGATTATAGTGGATGGTGGTGCGAGACGACATTTTGGCGACAAGGCATAATAGAACACGCGTTTTGACAGGTAGCAACAGATTGATAATTTGAGAAGTAGGCAAATCATACGATTTATTTTTTGAAGTTATTTGTGGAATAGTTTCGCTTCTGAAATTTTCTTAACTTCAGTACAAATCGGATATTTCTGTCAAAAGAAACGTCTCATTGTCTACATACATTATTGCAAAGTAATAATGAAGAGAAATGTTTCATGGTTGAAGCACCAACGGCGCTAATAAACGAATGCACGTAGTAGAAAATAAACTAGTATGAATAGGAGCTCCGTTGCCTTACGCTACCTTTGAATAATAATAATAATAATAATAATAATAATAATAATAATAATAATAATAATAATGTGTGCAATATGAAGGCATTATGTGTTGAGAAATCCGCAACTGCGAGTGCAAAAGAAGTTGAAAGAACGCGCGTTGCACGAGGCGAAGAGGGGAAGTTCCGTGGGCGTCGCGCCACTGGGCCACATTTGCGCGCGTCGCGTCGTGTCGCGTCGAGTCCCGTTCGGAAGCTGCGTTGCATAAGGCGCCTGCGCGGCGTCGACGGCCTCCGCGGCGCGCGGGCGGCGCGGGCGTGTTGTGCTTCCGGGTGATGTCACAGCGCGTCGGGGAGCCACGCTCAAACAGTGCGTGGGCCGTGCCGCCGGGCTGGTGCGTTCCCGCCCTGGGTGGGTGGCGGTCGAGCGCATGCGCTGTGACGTGAGTCGTGGGCCGTGCTTTTACGTCTCACACGGATTGTTCATTTCCATGATGCCGTGTGTGGTTTTCACAGGGCCAAAGCGGATTTATATACAAACCAAATACCCGTCAGAGCGCTGACGCTAATTGTTGAGAAGGGAGGGCCTTCGGTAGAAGATTGGCTCATAGTCAAGTAGCTAAAGGACGTGTACTTGTTTGTCCTTTTAAATTTTACGTACTCCAACCAATCAACGATGTTCTGCTTATCACCTGCAGTTTCAACTGTCGCCCCTTCGGTTCGTTTTCCCTACTACGTTAAGCGGTTTGCATTAAGGACATTTTATGAAATGGTGAAATTGTTTCATTCCTTTCGTTGTATTTAGATTTGTCGTTCAACATTTCAGTTTTCATTAATCCGCCCAAAAGGACAGTTTTATTTGAAGATGTGAATCCTGAAGCAGCTGTGTACAGCAAGAGCGTGGTCTCGTGTGTTTATGCGAAGGGATTGACCGGTCACGAGACGAATGTTCGAATAGTAGAGGATTTTTCTTTGCATTGAAACTTCGATAATGTGGCTTTCCATTGCCTACATATTAGTACCCACGCGTTCTGGTTTAAATAAACGTTTCTACAAAGCAACTGTCTTTAACAGAGATTTTTCAGAACAAACCAGACATAACTTGTTTTGTATGCAGTTGCCACCGTACTAGTTGACATATTGAAGTTATTTCTGAGTATTTCTAAGTTGAATAAGAACATTATGCCGTTTTGTTTTGTTTTAATCTCCGACAAATCATTAATGTTTTTTTCAATATTACAGATTTATCGGACATCACTATGGACTCGCCTTTCACGGAACGGTAAGTAGCCACGTCGACGGTTCTCATTTTGATTTACTTGCTTGTGATGCATGCAAGGAACCTCGCGAGACGCGGGCTCGCTCGTGCAAGCGCTCCGCGACGATGATCAACATACGCGCACCAATATTTTCTTTAGCTCCGAGACGCCGAGCGCTCTGTGATGGCGGCCCCCCCTCCCGGGGCGCAGGAGGGCGAAGGAGGCGATGGCATCTTCGGACCTCGCGCCTCTCGAGGGCGCCCTGCGCCGCCTGTGGTTTACTGGTTCGAGTTTTCGACGTTTCGTCTCGGGGGGGGGGGGCGGGGTCAGGATGCCTGCTGGCGGTTCGGGCGAGCTACAGGCAGGGAATGCAGGGCCGGTTTGGGCCCTCAGAAACCTTCCTTGGGGCTGTATTTTCAAACACGTCAAAACAGTTCAGTAAACAAAATCTAAACTAAGCACTGTACTTTACTACCTAGGCTATTTGACCGGATTTTTTCAGAAATCATGGTAAATAACTAAATGTACGTCATATTACGACCCTTTTCTTAGCCAAAGTCTTTTAAAGTTTTCATTGGACCAGGACAATATTAAATGGTGCTTTTGGGACATTCTATATATTCCAATAATGTATGCGGGTATGTAGGCAATTAATGTTTGACGATTGCTATCTTCCTCTGCTTTGGTGAGGCGACAAATGCTTTTCCTGGACGCAGGCGACCGAGGCTGTTGTGGCGATGGACGCCCGGCCTGCGCACGGGTTGAGAGGAGGGAGGTGTGGAGGGCGCGCGCGGCGCGGTGGGCAACTCTGTCGGCCAGAGCCAACGAGAGAGGAGATTCCGATGCAGCGGCTGCTGTTGCGCGCCGCATCTTCCAACGGTCGCGCCGCACGCGCACACGCCTGCCTCCACCTCGCCTCCGGGCCGGCGCTCGGGCAGCGCCTGCCGCCTTCCGCCCGATTGAGCTGGCGCGCGCATGCGGGTGAGCGCCGAGATCGCGTGAACAATGGGCGGGTGGAAATAAGCCTGCCTTCGAATTCTCCCTGCGAAATGTGTTTGAATAGTTTCCTCACTTTTTCCGCTTCGGTATTTC